AAAAGATAGAAATTAATTATTCATAATACATATGATGTATTTTTTGAAGTTAATTTACATATCACCCGATCGTATATTACGCAAATGTAATTACTAGACACTTTTAAGATTTATGTCACTATAAATATTTATGTGTTTGTAAAATTGGGGACATCTGTAATGATCGGTAAATTATTGCATTCTGTGGATCGCATATCCACGAAATTATTTCTTACATTTATTTCTGCGCTTTAGAAATGAATGTACCCCATGCGGCATTGCATGAAATTGAATAAATAAGATTGCTATAAACTTGAATCAAATTTATATAAATACGTTTACTCGTATAATGCATCTGTTAATTTAAACAAATTTGAATGTGAAAAATTAAACAAAATTTATCATAGATTCTCGTTTACATATATAGCAAGCTCTTATTTATGAATGAATTAATTTAATTAGGTCAGCCACGCATAATTAAATTTAATCTAATGCTGTAATATAAATCGTAAAGATGATACAAATGAATGTAATGATAAAAAGAAATATCGTGGCTTTCCTGCGCGAGTACTGCGGCAAAAACTTACAAGATAAGTATTTCTGGGAAACCATTCAACAGCATTTCTTCATGGATGAACAAATATTGGATTTGAAATCTTCTTGTGCCAGCTATTAACATATTAATTGACTTTCTTTTACAGACAATACTTAGCAGAAACGTATTTATCATATATACACTCTTTATAACATAGAAAGTATATTAAACAATTATATAGAAATAATAATAATTTCCAATATTGACATTTCTGCTATGATAATAATATATGAGGAATGATACGACTTTAATACGCCGACTAACTACCACTCTGTGTTTTTGTCCTGTTGATAGCATTTGGCAGATTCCCAGCGACGATGACAACGTATACCCAGGGAAGCTACACATGTATGCGATTCATCAGTTTTAAGTAATTTACCATTGCGCGCGCGATTGGCGAGACCTTGAATTTGAAAGCAACGCTATCACATTTTTTTCTATTATATATTCAAGGTTTTGCACAATACAGACACATTCATTATTATTTTTTAATATAAATAAGAAATACGCGCGTAGAAGCTGCATTCCTATGTCTCAGGACATTAATGCGCGATTGACATGCGATCTTAACGCATTATACCATAATGCGGGTTGAGCATACTTATTAATATTACAAGTAACACATCTATTTTAGTCAGTGATGGTTATTGTAACCTTTATAAATAATAGATCAAACCATTGTTCCTAATTAATTTTACATTAGACGCACAAAAATGTGTGTTTTTATATTATTTAAATGTGTTTACGATTTATTGTATACTATTATATTATATAGAGAACATTTTATAGTAGATTGTAAAAATTATATATTTTAAACTCTTTTGAATTTTATCTATATTGATTTAAACATGTCATAAGACTAAAATATGTTTTGCAGATAAAGTATGTTTAACTCCTTATGTTTAGTAAAACGACACTTTAATATATAAAATTTCATAAACTCTTGAAACATAATATTTATATGGTCAGTTACGACAGAAAAAAAAGAAAAGTTAATTGTAATGTTTATCTTATATTTATCATAATAAGTAATTCTACTTTCTTTACAATTAACATTTTATTAATAATAAATAATCGTAAATGGCCCGAAAAATATTTTCTTTTGCCAAGTTGCCTGTGCTAACTTATTTTGCTTAGTTCCAGAAACTATATTCTTTCCAGGATAATGAGAGTTTTATTTCAGGTGCAATTTGGCAAGAGAAGTAATATAATTTCACTAAATACATATGCTATATATATTGGTCCAAGAGTTTATGATCATGCAAAATAGTTTTGCAATTATAATTCTATCACTTTTCGTTTCTTCTTTTATAATAAATAAATGACATGAAATATGCAGTTTCATCTCTCTCATAAATATTTTAAATAATTTGAAGTATTTCGTTGTTTAATAGTACTGTGCATGCACAGTATCTTTTTTTTCTTCTTTTTTCTTTTTTTTTTTTTTTTTCTTCTTTTTTTTCTTTTTCTTTTTTCTTTTTTTTTTTTTTTTTTTTTTTTTTTTTTTTTTTTTTTTTTTTTTTTTTTTTTTTCTTTTTACATATATATTAGAAAGAAAGGCACTTATCTAAATACTATACCACTATTCTCGTAATGTCATTTTCATAAGAGAATTCGTATTTTTCAAATTGACATTAGTTTCTTTCCCTCTTCTTTCTTGTATTTAGACAACGCCAGTTTTAATAAGATAATTGAAGGAAAGAAAATGAAATGCCATACCTAAAAACCCATTTGTGCATGACATAGATATAAGCAAAATTGATGCCCAGTGCAGTGGAGGCCATTTCAATATGTTCGTAGACATTACGCACGAATGAAATTATGTATTTAATAGTACACTAATAAAATCATTTTCTGCCTTAAAATAGGGTTTTCAAATGGTTGGAAAGAAACATTTATGAGTGGTGATCAAGAACCATGGGTCTTTCGCGGTGGTCTTACTGCTGACCTACAGGTAGAATTTGGCTTTATAAAATTATTATAAAGTAATCATGCATCTATATAATTATATTTGCTTTTAGAGATTAATTCCAGTGGACAGCGGTAACGATTTATTTGTTTATAAAGCACCAGAAATACCTAGTAGTAAAATATATACAATACGGCCTTATTTAGCGAGCGATGAAGAAGCAGTTTATGCAGTATGCAATCAAATTTCTAATTGCACAGGATCATCGGCTGTAGCAGACAAGTACACGCACAATATCAATTTTTCTATTAAAATATTTAATTTACTAAACAATGAATATTTTATCTTATAAAAATATTATTACCATTTTAGATTAGTTGGTGGATTTTTAACATTAAGTCCTGAATTATGTATGATTGTTGAAGATGAGAATGGAATAGTAGGATATGCACTAGCTGCCTTAAACGTTAAATCTTATAACCAGAGGTTGGCAGTTTCTTGGATTCCCGAATTAAAAATGAAATATCCTTTAGATAATGGTATGAATAATTTACCACAGGATATTCAGGTATTTATACACAGTATAATAAATATATGTGCTGACATTTAACATTATTATACAATGATTTTTTATCTACCATTATTTTAATTTTTATTAAAGGATGCAGTACAGTATTTTCATACATTTAGCCCAGATGTATCAGAGCAACTGTGTAGACATCATCCATCAAAACTTTTGTGCGCAATACTACCTAGTGTAACAGATCAATCAATTCCTAAAAGATTGATTACTTGTGTCTTAGCAGCTTTAAGAGCTAATGGTAAGTACTCTTTCAACAACTATATAATCATTTTTTATTTGAACCTTTTCGAAAGAAGAATAGTAATTTTCGACTATGATATATGCATTGTATATTTATATATAGGATCTTTCGGGGTTCATACAACCATGTGCTCTACAGATAAGGAAACTAATGAATTTTATACAAAATTAGGATTTGTTGAATTGAATCCAGCACAGGAGGAACATCCTGGAATAAAAACAATGTGTAGAAGTTTCTAACAGAGACTGAACACACAATTATTATTTTTAAATAAAGTATATTTACTTGGACCTTCAACAAAGAAAGGATTTATGACATAAAAAATTTCGCGACAAATTAAAACTGTTTTTAGATTTTTATATATATATATATGTGTGTGTATATGTACGTACGTACGTATGTATATATGTATGTATGTATATATATATACATTTAATCCAAACATGAGAAAAATTTTATCCTTTTTTACATTTTGTTTCTTACGCTCTGGTAGTGTGAGTAAAATATATTAAAACATAAAACGTATACTTTGTCTTAACAGAGGTATACATAGAAGAATGTAAAAGTATTTAGTGTAATTAAATAATTTTTATTTCTTTCTTTCATTATATAATGCTAAATTAATCCTTCGCACTCTTTACAATTCCTTTACAAAATGCCTAACTTTTAGTTATATTTAGTCCAATTTATAAGAGATTTATAAAAAAATCGCGATGTTAACAAAAAAAAAAAAAAAAAGATAAACTATTCATATCTTTTCTTTGAATAATAGCAGACAAAAAATATGCATACATATTACAAAAAAAACTTATTGTTATAACAGAAATATCACAGTGTATAAGATTTCACTCTCCTCTGTCTATTTAATATAATGGTAAATACATATATCATGTATATATTAAAAATAAATACTGTATAAAATATGGATGTAGTGTCCTTGGTAAAAGTCAGTAAAGGAGAGCATAAATTTCCAAATCTTTAGAATTATTTGCATTATTAATATTTCTGCTTATGTACAATATTATATGGTTGTAATGATTAATAGCTAATCATTTGTGCAACTAATATGTACATAAACAAGGGTTATATGATAAAATGCCATTATGTGTGTTCAATAATGGATGTCTAAATCTTATGACTTGTTAAGAACTATTTTCTTATTCAAGATATATTAATAATCTATTGAAACCAATTTTGATCATAATCTGTTTTAAATAGTTACTATTCTGACGATATAAAATTATTGATTTTATACAATATTCATTCTGTAATGTAATACGAGCCTAAAAATGATATTAGAAATGTTTAAGCGGATATTCTAAACTTAAGGACGAATATAATTTACGCATCTATTCTACGACTTCTAGTTTATTGTTTAATCGATCATAAAAATTTATAAGCTTTTTTTATTTTAACGTATACTGAAATTTATATATTACAATATTCTTTATAACTATCTATAAAAGCATAAATTATATCCATACATATTTTTTATTACTGATATTTACTTTATAATTTCGTACTATGAATAATATAAATTGGTTCTACAAATGCAAGATATATTATTTCAAATTGTGATATATAGTTGTCTAGTAATTATTATTTTGTTTGCATGTTATTATGTTAAAAGAAAAACTATATATATATATATATATATATATATATATATATATATATATATATAGTTTTATATATATATATATGTTATTGTCATTACTCATGATTAATATTTTATATTATATAACAGATTATTTGACATATAGATCTACAATCATAGTGCATTAATTAAATATAAATTATAAAATATGAATACACATACAAGCAATTTCGCATAAAATTCACATTTAGATTTATACTTCCGAATATAGATTTAAGGCATTGTGGTAATATTGTGTCGCTGAAGATGATGTATTTCTTTTTGTAAAAAACAAATCTGTAAACAATATTTGTACAAACTTTCAATCATTTTTTCAAGTTACTTATGAAATTTTTCAATGAAATTTGGAGTTACGAATAATCTAACAAACCTTTTTAATTGTATCATTTAAAGACTTTTGTTTGGAAGTTGGTGTCATGCTTGTAATTCCATCTGTATTTATTGTAGCTAATGAGTCCAATAATTCTATAATCTTTTTATTTATGTTACTGTAAAAATACGATCATATTTATAACTTTTGAGACATACAACTCACAAAATTATTTTATATCGTCATTATACTTACGTAGGCGATACAAATATTGCTTTGTTTCTTCTTTGCAAATTCGTTTTATCATTCTAAAAGATGATCGTTTATTATAATTTTCTATCGTAATGTAATGAGTAATTTTATTAAAATATCTTACCAATTTGTCTTCTGCTTTAGATATATATAAGTCGTCAACGTTATCGATAGCAAATGGAATGTCATCTAACAAACATATGAATTAATTATATTTAAATATTTTATCTTCAACTAAATGAACGCATTTTTATCGTTATACCTTCTCTTCTTTTTGTAGCTTTTTCCATACTTTTAGAGAAACTGCTTTTATCATCTCTCCATTCTTGTAGAGCTACTTTATTTCTATATATAAAGTATGAACAATAGAGAAACAAACGTTATTAACATCAATATATAAAACTAACAATTGGTCTATTTAAAAGCAGAAGAATATATACAATATTAAAATATTTATTGGTGCTACTATATAATTAAAAATGAGTGACAATGTACTTTGTAATTGTAAAAATAGATAAGTATCAATTTTAAATAGGCTATAAAATATATTAGAAATTCATATAGACGACTACTTACTTCATTTTTTGAAGTACATAAGCTTCTTTATTCAACATATCTGTAATTTCATCAATCCATGAAAGTTGATTTTGTTTGACAAGATTTGTTCCTTTACTCTTACATCTACAGAAGCACGCATGTTATAATTAATTTTAATATTATATTTATGTTAACTAATCATTATCTATATAATTAAAATAATTAATTAATTAGATAAATTCATACTTATATTATTATACCTGTTACTTGGTTTATAAGCTTTTCTTTTCTCTGTCATAGACATCTTATTAAATTTATTTGATATATCACTGCAACTATAGCAATTAACAACTTTTAAAATGTCCGATTTTTTTTTATTAATTGTCTCATTATTAAGAACTGTTAACGATTTAGGCTTTGCTTCTGTTTAAGACAATAAAACAGGATTTATATATTAGAATCTTGCTTCTATTTGCAATGCATATGCAAGGATCACATTCTTACCCTTCACAGGTATTATTCCAACTTCATCTGGGTGTAATCTATTCCATTCACTTTTTAAGAAACTTAATATATTAGAACATCCAAGTGCTACAATATTTGCCGGTGGCATAGTAAGAGGATTACGCGCTACTTGTAAATTTTTTAATTTTGGTACCATGCCTACAAATTTATATTATGAATGAAATATATAAATATATATTTCATATGCAAAATAGAATAGCATTTAAATTGCAAGTAAACTTGGATATGCATAATTAGGTAATTAGTCTTTTATATTGCATACTTACATAGTTCTAATGGTAAAACCTGAATTTTGTTTCCTTGTAATAAAAGTGTATGTAAAGATGAATGAGATTTTATACTTTTTGGCAAAGTTTTCAATTGATTATTCCGTACATCTAGCCATTCAAGATTTTGTAAAGAAGGAAAGATCTCTTCAGGAATTTCTGATAGGGCATTATTTTCTAAGTAAAGCATCTATAAGTAATCCATATATATATATATAGTAGTACAATTTGATATAACATATTAAAAAAGGTGAAACTAACTTTAGCATATACAGTACCCGTATCCTTGAAAAATGTTGCATTATATTATTTGGAAATACTGTAAGTTTTGCATTTGACAAATCCACAAATGTTGAATTATAAATTGACATTTTTTTAGGAATAGGTAGTAAATCTATATATTCTTTCTTTGAGTGCTGAGGTGTATCTTGTGTTATTACTGAAGAAATGTCAGATATAGTATCTAAATCTTCTGCAAGTATAGGACACAACTCGCTAATACATAATTCTTCAGGATCTTGAAGATATGTAAAAAAAATTAAGATAAAGTAACTATTTTAAATACAAGGTATAAAACTTTGTCTGATCTTGTATAATTTCTTCCTAATTATTTACCATAAGATACATAGGACGTATTAGGATTGTTTTCATGTAGATCAGTCTTCAAAGTTATTTCATTGTTTAAAATAGAAGCAAAATGGGATTTCAGTACATGTGATTCAGAAGTTATACTTCCATCCTCTTTTTCTTCCTCTTTATCCAATCCACAAAAATTATGTATAGATAAATCAATTGACTCCTCCTCATTATGATTCTTCTCACTTTGCTATAATAAATAATTTTTGTGTTAACGTATGCATATGCATTTCTATTACAAGCGTAATAACTACAATTGTTATATAAAAAGTGCAGATAATATAATTGGATGTATGATTTATCAATGAATTTTGTATTTTCATTAAAGGTTTAAATTAAAGCAAAATTTATGAGGACAAAATAATTAGAGTGATCAAAAGAAGAGTACCACATCTTTCGTTACAATTTCTTCCGTTTCATTTAAGATCATTTGTTCGTCAATATTTTCCTTTTCATAATCGTTTTTATTATTAACAACACATTTGTGAATTGACAAAGATCTATCATTATTAGATTCATTATGAAATCCATAATATTGTTCAAGAAGTTCTCGCGTTATATTGATCATTGAAATATATAAAAACCTGAATGGATATAGTTTAAAATATTTATCGTATAATTTTTTAATTTATTGAACAGAATCAATAACGTTCGAACATAAGTGTTGATTTAGATGATTCTTTAATTTTCTTAGTACAATGCGTTTCTATGGAAACAAAAGAGATGTTTGAAAATGGATATCGTTCCGCAATATACATTCATTCCACTTGCATATAAGAATTACTTTAATATAAATGATAAAGAAACGCAAAATTTATTTAACAAATGGTAATCTCTTTTGTCATAATATTTATAAATTTTTATTTTATCAAAACATACATATAAAGACTTTCATTGTTTTAATATTACAAATATTATTTACCTTAATAGGGGATTAAAGGGAAATATCGTTCTTCAACATTTTTCTTTCAATGAACCTTTTCATTTATATCATAAATACCAATTTGCTGAGGTATAGTAGTAATAGTGGCAATTGAGTGTTGCACTTATTTTTTTCTTAATTCCTTATAAATATAAATTAACTATATGCTGTTAAATCGCAGGCCTTTTTTAAAAGCAGCATTGTTGCCGAAAACTTGTTAACAAAAAGAGGAAGCTCGTGGACAAAACAAGGTATCATAGCTACCTTCTACTAAAATCTCTTTTTGATATTATATTATTTCTCTCTCTCTCTCTCTCTCTCTCTTCTCTCTCTCTCTCTCTCTCTCTCTCTCTCTTTCTCTCTCTCTCTCTCTTTTTCTAGGAATCATTGCATCAACTGTGGATGTGCAACAAATACCATGTTCTGTTATAAATATGTCTTTTTTTAATAAATTGGAAAATCCAGATAATGGAATAATAAATAGTTCTGGTGTTATTCGCAAAAGATATGATAGTGAAATTAATGATTTCCTTATTTCTGACAAGTTAAGAGAGGTAAGTTAAAAAGATATTAAATAACATGTAACAAATTTAATTTAAAAGATATTTTATATATTCCATAGATGTTATTAGATGAAGAATCAACCCAATATGATTTATATACAGAAGATGAAAGAAAAGAATTTATCTTTTGCATTTTCCAAATGTTGGTTCTTGGAGGAATTTTATGCCAATATGAAGACACTTTGAAACCATACCTTGATACGACAAAGCGAATTTATAAAGATCTTATAAGGTTCTTAACAGCTTTCGTTTATTACTTCATTTAAAACAATCATATACCATAGGACAATCTTAAATTGTATCATTAACTATTTTAGAGTACAAAAACGAAAATATTTGGATGATTTATGTGTCAGTACAACAGTTTTAAAAGTTACAGCAAAAGATAATAAAAATCAAGCATACTTTCCGAGCAATAATCCTTTTAATATACAGAATGTTGGATTTCTATTGATTGATGGAAATCTACGTGAAGTAACAACATTTCTACATCAGTTTGGAGGATATTGCGATTGATATTACTTACTTATACTTTTTTATAAGAAAAGATAAAGGGGAAAAGATAACATTTTTAATTATCCATTTATCTCATAATTGTTTATCAAATACGTACATATATTCTTAGTTAGCCCTTTTGTTCTTATTATATATTACAAACTGTAATATAGAATTATAATCATTTACGCGAGTAAAAATAATAATCATTTATGAATTTACAATCGCTTAATTCCAAATTAACGATAAATTTATTAAAATTAGTTATGATCTTAAATAAATAAATAAATAAATATGAATAAAGGAAGTCATATTACATTAGATATGGCATTATCGTTTTCTTTAGTTACATTGTCTAATTTGTACCCTATTTTATGCGTTTCGTTTATGGTTTTTATAATTTAATTTGCATGGCACATTTATTAATAATTATATTTATATTTCAAGAATTCGGAACGAATATTATCATAATTGATCCAATCTAAACGTATGAAGAATCTTTTACTTTTTGTTACATATATAAAAATTTATTTCTTTTTCTCTTTCATAAAATATTTATAAATTACAATGAAATATTATTTTTCAATTAATAATCGATTCTATTCATGGAATATAGTAATAATAAGTAAACGTAATTTTTATAATTATAATTATTCAAAAATTATTAATGATTATGCATGATGATGAAGAATATGAAATATTTCAATAAAAATCATCTAATCAAAATTTATAAGCAGACTCGACATTATTAAAACAATATATTTTGTAATCTTTGTTGATATAATATTATAGATAAAATATTACTTAAAAGAATCTATATTTCTAGTTACGTAGAAATTTTAAAATCTAATAAATAGCTTTTGCTAATGTGCTTAATTGTGATAAATTGTAATAAATTGTAATAAATTGTAATTATATATGCACATACATATGTGTCTGTATACAATTAATCTTTACAGTAACAATATTTGCGTAAATGGAATAGTGAATTTTCTACACACCTAGCTTGCGATCCATATTTGTTAATTCTACTGACATCAGAAATCTAGAAAGAAAAAAAGAAAAAAAGTAATAAATATAATTATCAAAAATGTTGTTTCACTTAATCAACTTACTTTAGTATTAAAAATATTCTTATTAACGTTATAAGTAATGCTTGCTTCAAATAGTCCACCACCTGGTTCTGTTTTTACTTTTATCTGATATATCTCAGATGTTAGCTTAGTTTTTGCACTGAGATCTGCTACAAAGCCATCCTGATCTCCAGATTTTTGAAAATTTAATAAACCTAAGATATATTCAATTATTGCATATAATTTTCTTGGATATAAAATAATAGTCATATAATATATAATACCTTTAGTGGGTAAAAGTTTAGCAGACCACAATATTTGATTTATCTTTAAAGTTTCACATATATCACGATGTTCCTCCGTATAGGTATTAAGGAATTGAACAAAAAACTTGGCAGCTGCAATAACATTGGGATTATCAACTTCTATTTCTTTCCAACTAAGACAAGCACACCAATGTGGCTCTATGAATGCATCCGCGCATGTTCTCTCCAAAGGTATCTATTACACACATATGCATATAACGGATGAAATATTATTATTTTATTTTTGTTGATTGTTCAATTCTTAAATATTACTAATATTTATTACGTAAAATATATCACATATACCTTGTCAAATAAATTAATAGCTCTTTGATAACGATCTCCTTCTTTTGGACTCTCAAAATTTAATATAGCTTGTAATGTTTTATGTATATCAAACGGTGTTGTTAAATGCTTTGTATTATGTAAGAAATTTTCATAGGCACGTGAATGTACTTTTTTGAACCAAGGTGGGAAAGTGAAAGAAAAGAACGGCAATCGTTCTTCTTGTTTACCTTGCAAAGTATTACGAATTTCTGCAAATCTATGACCATGATCACTCATTAGTATTAAAATGGTATTGTTCAAGTGACCAGAGTCTTGTAACTGCTTTACCCAAAGGTACAAATCTTCATCCGCAGCACCAATATCATTATAGGAATCATGAGATAATTCTCCATGAAAACCAAATACAAATTTAGGTTCATCTTTGTAAGTATCGAAAATTGCTTTTATATAATTTAGCATTACTACGTGGCGTGGAATGCTTCCCATACAAAACTTATTGTAATTACGAAAATACCGCTCAGCGGCCAAGTAAAATGTTCTCATATAATGATTGGTGGGTTGTTCTTTAAAACCTTTTAAACGATAAGTAAATGTTCCAATATGATGAACATCCTCCATAAATCCTGTTATATATCCCTTTTCTTTATATTCTTTCCACACCATTGGATATATATTAACAAATTGTGCTTTCTGACCCATACGTTTACGTGTCTCTGGTAATTCAAGTTCAATTTTTCCCGTTAGAATGGGAATAAGAGCTTGCGGAGTACCATCTCCTACTATATTATATCCTTCTAAAACTAATGTATTCAAATTGTGCTTCAGATATTGGTAAGTTTTAGGTAATTTTCGGATGAATGTATTACGAGATAAAGAATCAAAACCAAACATTAATACATTTAATTTCAGTGAATTATTTGGAACATTATCCCAACTATACTTCCTTTTGATTTCAAAGTCTAATTTCACACCAGCTAGAACACTATGCCATCTAAAATATTAATAAATATTAAATTGATAATGATTCATACAATCTAATATAACTAGCTACAAAATATAGTCTTTTAATTTGTTGTTTTATGATTTATTTTATACCAACTTTTTGTTACTTTCTGAAGTGCATTTTACATCTACAAAATCACTATATCTGGGAATATAAAAGTCATCGGCTTCCACTGGTTCTGAATATTTTATATTAAAATCGTCTATCCTAATTACCTCTATAAATGAAAAATACAAATCAAGAACACATTAATGAAACATTTAAAGCTTTGTCAATTAATTTTAAACTTTTAAAATAATTGAAATTACCACTAAATGTACACATTAACCGTCCATACTTATTTTTTATTTCCTTATCGATTATAAGCCTTGTTTTGTCAACTTTTACCCAATCTTCAGGTGTACAAATTATGGGAGGTACATTATGTATAAATTTCATTATTTCTGGATTGGAAACCTTTAATTCTGGTAATTTACATGCTGGAATTCCATTTCTAAAATATAATTGACTTAGTATCTATTATTAAGCAGTAATAGTGTTCATCACGCTGATTTTTCATCATATAATTGATTCTACATACCCCAGATACAAAGTATCTTGTTCAACCGATTCTTTTATCAATTGTGACATATGCACACTGCAATGAAACAAGTAACGAGTAAAACATTGTTAAGATATTAAATTACGTTAACAAATTTTTCTACCAATAAAAAATATTATCAAAGAACTATTATTTACAGTTTGTCATAATTTGAAAGGTCATCATTAAATCCTGGCACGGATCTAAGTACTTGACCAATACAAAATATTACTGCAATTATCAATGCAATTATTATGAGCCTTTTAAAGTAACATGATGTGATCCTCATGTTTATTTAATTTATCATGCCTAAAAGAAAATTATCGATTAGTTTTAAAAATTAATATCTTTTTAATCAATTCTCATGTAAATATATATAAATATATATGTTATAGTAGATAAAAGTTACTGTATTGATGCATGATAGTATATTTATAAATAATTATAATATCTTTTATTTTGTTGAATCATAAAAATATACAGATGCACCATAAATATATACATACAAAATATTGTCTGCACTTTTCATTTAATAGAGAATAATGAAATTAAGAAAATATTTGTTATCTAATATGTCACAATTCATCTTTAACATAGTGCAATATCACAGAACAATACATATCACACACACACACACACATACACACACACACACACACATTATATATATATATATATATATATATGTAAAATTTACACAAAACAAAACTTAATAGCTCGAAAAAAGTACAAATACACGAAATATGTAATAATGAAATGTACATACATTCACAGATTGTTTTATAACGAATAATTTTTATCAGTTGATCCCAAACGGATTTCATTTTCATTAGATAAGTAATTCTCTTGATAAATTCATTTCGATTAGATATTATATCAAAATACAGTGTACTCAATCATACTGCAAAATTTATATTTTAACTGCATTCAATTTATTAATTATAATCGAATAAAAATAAAATTCTTGCAGTGATTCTATCTTATTAATTTCATCGTTTGTGACAAAAATTTCGCTTTTATTTGTCTCTACATAACAATTCTAAAATCCTTAAAAATTTTCAATGAAAAGCATTCCTTTAATGCTTTATTTTTTCCAAATTTCGGTGTTACGTGCGAACATAGGCAGAGGGCGTGGCTCAGAAAAGATTACATAATCTTTGCCGGTTCTGAGTAACCATATATTTTGTGTTATCTCTTTTTGATAAATCACATGTTTTAAAGCACAAGATATATCTATTTCGAAATTCGTTTCTCTATTTTGACATCCTTATAACCAATGCAAATACACAACACTCACGAATAATTGCATTAATTTCAATTCATCACATAACGAAGTTTTATCTTCACAGTACACTTTAGCGATTTTTTTCGTCTTTTTGCATAAAAGATATTCAAAAATAATAGCAAACGTAATTGTTAAGTGAAAAGTCATAATGTCAGTCAATAATTATTACTGTTCCAAGAAGGACCCTAGAAAGTACTAGTAAAAAAATGTTCTTTTACGACATTTAATACGAATCAGATGATTATCAAATATATTTCATTTTTGAAAATAAATATATTTATTTTATATATAAAAAGGTATTTTTAGATATCCATTCATATGATAATATCGTTCGAGAAGGAGTGAGAATTATTTCCTATTTTTGAAATATCTTTTTAATAATTTCATATATTTTTGATTTCAATAATTTCTTTAAAACATTCATTAATATTAATTAATAATTTTTATAAATTTATAAAGAATATATAACAAAAAATAAAATAAATAATATATTACAGAGTATTTTACTGTAATAAAAAAAAAAGTAAAGGCATTTATAATGCATTTAGTTTTGATTTATTCGTTCCTATAGAAATCTAAATTACCCTTCTATGGT